AAAATAGGGGCCTAAAAGGGTATATTTACCAATTACTTTCTCTTCTGCTGCTTCTTTTGCTCGATGTACTTGACGTTTCGGGCGGTCAGCTTGCGAAGGCGACTGCGCTTCTTCTCCTTCTTGGGGTACCAGTCAGGACCCATCGCCTTCTTGATGTTCGCCAGGCTTTCCTGGCGGCGCACTTCGGCCGAACCAGCTTTTCCTCCCAGAACTCAACCGCTTTTGGGCCGTTCTCGCAGGCAATACAGCGCCGCACGATGACCCGCCCACTGATTGTACGGAATGCGTAGCCGTACTGCAGCTTCCCGCAGCAGACGCAGCGCGCCCGGGCATCCGTCGTAGACCGCTGCGGGTTCTGCAGAAGCGGGTCAATCTTCGCCTCGCATTGCTTGCACGTAGGGCCAACCATTTTGCAAACTGTGCGTATGTTAGCAAAATATTTTGTTTTAACCAATTACTTTTGTCCAAATATTAGCCAATAGCACGGTAATAAAAGGCTGATATTTAATATAAAGCTAAATAGTAAAATGTTTTATATTATTAATATTCGGCTTATCTTTAATATATTATTATCAGATTTCCAAACAAATACATACTTTACATGCAATAAAAGTGACTAAAAGACTATGTATCGTGCGCGCATGCATTCGTCGGGTGGGGTGCACGGGAGCAGATAGCGCAATGACCGTGCGGCCGCGCGCCTTCTTGCACGCTGACAGTGGAGAGTGCCAGGAGAAGTAAAAATAATATTTGCAAAGCCCCTACAAAGCTCGGTGGTTAGCGTGCCCGATTTGATGCACATACGACAGGTTTTGCGTAGCTAAATGTAAATTTAGAATTGTCAACGCAGCTCGCCAGGCTGTTTGCAACCAATCGATGCGTTTCGTGCTCGGCAGAAATGTTTACCTTACGTCCAATCACGAGGGCGATAGACGGTCTGATCGTGCGACAGATCCAGTCAGTGTCGCAGGTCGGTCGGTATTGCCCAATCAAGGCGCGAGTTAATTGCGTCACGCATTTGGATATATTTGTAATTTTGGCATAGTTAGGTCGAGTCAGAAAGGTAGGCGCGGTCGGTAGGATGGGAGGAAACTGTATTAGACAGGCCAAGTGTAGCCATGCGAAAAGGCAGGAAAATACAGCAAGAAAGGAACCGGACGGACTTATTGACAGACGGACGGACAGGTTACAAGGTTAGGGAGCGGGAAACTAGCGCTCTGGGCGCCCGCTCCGCGGACGCTAGGGCATGGTTGGTTGGTGTAGAGAGGGCCGACCACCTCCGATGCGCTGCGGTGGGCTTAGAATTTTTACTCAAAGCGAAGCAACATATAGTACATGTATACTGTGATCTACGTATATTATGCTCCAAAACAGCACCGCACACAGTATCCGTAGTGCTCACATGTTATTGTAGACATGACCAGGGTTTAACGTGATCTGCAAGAAGAGCACCGTCTTACCCGGGAAGTTCTTGTCTATAATCTCGTTTGAGCGCATTGCTCCCAAAATGACACGAATCGGAGGCGCGCGTGGTTGCAAAGCTAATATATACTGTACGGAAGACGGGTCAGTATCAATGATGCTACGGAATATACGTTGATCGGTGAGGAATCCCAGTGTAGCTAGAGTAAGTACGCCTACTCAAACGTATTTTACCCATCTGCACGTCATCGCCGTGAGGCAGTCGACACATATCACCGATTGCGACGGTCGAATAGAGCAATGTTAATCAGCTCCGCGCGCGAAGTATCTTTTAGGATAGGTAGTATATGCCGATGGTCGCCACAAACATCAATATTATGCTTTGAAATTATTCTGCTGAGCTGTTTGTGATGTTACTGAAGGGTATTTCCACTATCTTCCGCATGCATTGATCTTACTTGCATAGCTGACGTACTTTCTGACTTATTTGTATAACTTCTGACTGACAGAGTGGCGTAAATCCTTTCCGACTGACATTATACTGGGTCCAATATGTACGACAAAAGGCCTCGTCCACATCGGACGAAGAGGCACCACTGCGTGCACATTCTTTTGACCGGCTGCAACATACGAAGATATATGGCTGTAGGCAGAGTATCAGATCGTAGTGATGGTTAGACTTGAATTGAATAATAGTTCATGTACATTAGATGGAGTACTTTCGCTGCCTACTTATCAGCTCGGCGTGCTATTTGATGTGTCCGTGCATATCCCGCAATGCCGCCAATGGGTGTTGTCGTGATAGCCAACACCCATGCACTGGGTTACTGCTGCGATCTCGGTACTTTTGTATCGTCGTGCTAGCCTACTGTACCTACGATTATGATGTATCCGTCTATATGATCCAGCACGTCACTATTCGGGCACAGGTCATACCCGCGGTGATACAGGCAAGCTGATCAGGCGTCTGTTAGCAGTATTCAAAGCAATATATACGCGCGCGGCGGGTACACATTATAGCCATCCGTGACTCAACCGAGCTCTTATCTCGGCCATTATGGACAGGGCGCTAAAGTAAAGTACTGCGTACAGACACATCTCCTTGCGATGGCCGCTTGTATGGTCATCACTACCGCATACGTGGTTGTGTCCATGTAGACAGCAGCTTATTCATCGCGCATAGTGCTCACTCGATACTGAAGCTTACATTCGTGAGCGCACATTAGTGAAATATAAACTGTGAGGGTTGGTGGTACATATAGCATGGGTTTGCGTGTGCCAAGTGAGCAAGTGTACTTTCCATCTACGGTAACGCGTATGCAGATAGGAACGGCCAGCTCGCAAGGGTACACAGTAGACACCATGCGCTAATTATTATACGAAACGCGCTACACTCCGTAGATGCTTGGCAGCACCACAGTTAGTTTACCATATGTGCGGCCCCAAGCCTCGCGCCGCCCGCCAGTATACAAAATACAAAGATAAGCGGGGTAACGGGGGCAATAAGGCTATATTATCCAAATTACTTGCTCTTCTGCTGCTTCTTTTGCTCGATGTAATTGGCGTTTCGGGCGGTCAGCTTGCGAGGGCGGCTGCGCCTCTTTTTCTTCTTGGGGTACCAGTCAGGACCCATCGCCTTCTTGACGTTCGCCAGGCTTTCCTGGCGGCGCACATCGGCCGAATCAGGTGGTGGGGGCTTTTCCTCCCAAAACTCAACCGCTTTTTGGGCCGTTCTCGCAGGCAATACAGCGCCGCACGATGTCCCGCCCGCTGATTGTACGGAATGCGTAGCCGTACTGCAGCTTCCCGCAGCAGACGCAGCGCGCTCGGGGATCCGTCGTAGACCGCTGCGGGTTCAGCAGAAGCGGGTCAATCTTCGCCTCGCATTGCTTGCACGTAGGGCCCACCATTTTGCAAACGTGCGGATGTTAGCAAAATATTTTGTTTTAACCAATTACTTGCGTCCAAATATTAGCCAATAGCTTGGAAATATAAGGCTGGTATCTATTATTTAGAAACATATTAAAAAGTTGATACTAACGTTTTGGCTTTGCTATAATATATTATTATCAGATTTCCAACCAAAAACATACTTTACATGCAATTTAAATTGCCTAAGACAATTATCTATCGTGCGCGCATGCATCTGTCGGGTGTGGTGCACGGGAGCAGATAGCGAAATGCCCGTGCAGCTGCGCGCCTTCATTGCACGGTGGCAGTGGTGAGTTCCAGGTAAAGTACAAAATATATATATTCGCAAAGTCGCTACAAAAAGCGCTGGTCGTGAAGTCTACTTTAATATTAAAAATACTATCGTCTCTACTTTAGAAAATGTGTGGAAAATAGCATCGCCGAGCTCTTACAAATGCGGCCTGTGAAGCTTATATTAAGCATATTAGTACTATTAATATCGTCATTACTTTGAAAAGTGTGTGGAAAATAACATCCCAGAGCTCTTACAAAATACTGGTCTGTGAAGTCTACATTAATAATGATAAATATCTCTATTTGAGAAGTGTGCAGAGCTCTTAGAAAATAAAGTGGTTAGTGTGCCCGATTTGCAGTACATACGACAGGTTTTGCGTAGCTAAATGTCAATAATCAAGTATCTGCGCAGCTCGCCTGGCTGTTTGCAACCAATCGATGCCTTTCGTGCTGGGTAGAAATGTTAACATTACGTCCAATCCCGAGGGCGAGAGACGGTCTGATCGTGCGACAGATCCAGTCAGTGTCGCAGGTCGGCAGGTATTGCCCAATCAGGGCGCGAGTTAATTGTGTCCGCTTTTTGGCCATATTTGTAATTTAGGCATAGTTAAGTCGAGTCAGAAAGATAGGCGCGGTCGGTAGGATGGGAGAAACCTGTATAAGACAGGCCGGGTGTAGCCATGCGGAAAGGCAGGTCAAAGCAGGAAGACAGGGAGTGCGACGGACGGATTGACAGACGGACGGACAGACAGACAGACCGACAGGCTACAAGGTTAGGGAGCGGTAAATGTTTTTCCGGTAGGAGAGAATGCGTCCTACTAGGAGTCCTAAAGTGTCCTATTATCCTAAAACCTGGGATAAAAAACTAGCAATTCGGCTCATAAAAAAACCGATATTTAGGACAACACAATGAGTTTTAGGACGAAACAAGCCAGGGTCCGCGTGTCCTAATAGGACACTCGACAACTGGACACTCAGCTGTCCTATTAGGACAGACTGCAACTCAGACCACTGTCCTATTAGGACAACACCAAGCCCAACATGTACTGTCCTCAAAACCTCCTCAACTGGCCTAGCTAGAAGCAATAATCATCTTAACGCCCCTCTCTCCAAGAGCAGCCGACTCTTTGTTGTGCGCGAAAAGCACCTCAACGAAACTTTTCTACTTCAAAGTGTGTGACAATATTTTTAAAGCGTTTCAAAGGATGACAGTCATTGAAGGTCATAATAGCCGCTAATAACGGTTGAGCGACTTCAACATACACATAGCAAACGACGGTTAGTAATCAGAACGTAACGATATAGGGGGGGGCTCAAAAAGCAGCAAAGTACTCGCAAGGGCTACTTGGCTGCAAGTCGATCCGAAGACGCGGTTAGCAAGCGATGGGGGTCTTGGTTAGCGCGGCAGTGTGCTCGGCCTGGTTCGTCGAGTTGTCTGGCGTCGTCGGGATGTCGACAACAGGTGTGTTTGTGGCAGGCGAGTCCGGGCTTGGAGCCGACGTCGATGAGCAGTTGGACGGCACGTAGACTACCAGGTCGGCCTTCAGGTTGGAACTGACACCGACCGGCAGTTGGCACTCCTCCAGGTTCATGGCCTTCACGTCAGCGAGCAGGGTGTTGCAGGCAGTCGAGGCGCACACAGTGTTCTGGAAAACCCGGGTTTTCTCAAGACATTGGGTGGGTCGAAGAGGTTGCTGGGGTGGTTGGATAATGGTTTTTTGTAGCCCTATTCACTTATAAAAACAGTGTCTAGTCACTATTAGGAAATTGTGTTTAATACACAGAAAGAGCAATTCAGTTCGCAATTCAATACAGACCTAGGTGCCTCGACGGCTCGTTTTGGAGGAAGCGATTGCAACACGAGCATGTAGACCCATCTAGTAGTGATGAGGAAGACACGGAGATTCGGCCAGTCGTAGACGGCGTGGTGGAGGATTGTTTGCTACGAGACGTGGTGGCACTGCAGAGAACGAGTATGCCTCTCGAGAAGGTGTGGGCTAAGCGCTGGATTAATGAGGCTACATTCTATCTGGTGCAGTGGGGAGAATACCATGAACTGACCTGGGAGCCTGTAGCCAACATTCCGTGGCAAGCGGTTCGTGAGTTTGAGCGAGAAACTATTGATTCTATTTGGATGTACCAGTCTACGCGGGGGCGACGACGCAAGCTGCGAACTGAGCGTCCACGTAGGCGTAATGCGCGACTCAGCGTCCATGAGTGAGTGCCGAGTATGCGTAGTACTACTATAGTAGCACTGAGCTACCACTGTAGCTTGGTACGTCGCTTGAATACAAGTATTGTTTCTTTTATGAGTAGCCGGTAAACGGGGTGGATGGGTTATTTAATAATCCACCCATTACCCACATTTTGCTCGTAAGGGGTGGACGGGTGGGTAACCCTGGGGTAACCCAACCCACAAAAGCCCCATTGGGAACCCTGGGCGCACATCTTGTCAATTGTGGCCTGGTCCGGGATCTCAGTGGTCCGTGCCGCACTGTTGAACGTTCGCGCTTGTGAGCAGAGCGGACAAGACATTGCTTCCGCAGGTGGCAGCAGAGGCCAGATAGACGAGCGCCCTAGCTGCAGAAGGAGTAGCCGCGATGGTCCATGATGCTTGGGGAGATTCAGAAATGGTTGGTGTGCCCCAGGACAATAAGTAAAGCCAATGTGAGTTTTAAGTAACTCTTACGTAAATTTACGTAGATAGTCCGGAAAAAGTTATTATTTGAGGTTTAGGACAATCTGACGGACACAAATTATAATATTCTGTAACGAAGGATTAGTCGCTTTTTAGGACACATCTCCAAAATCTCCCTGTAGAATTTAGGGACAAATAGGACAGTTTAGGACGTGTCTTAGGACGCATTATCCTACACCGTTTTTCCGCCACCCCTGTACCACCAGGCAGGATCCTATTTCGCAAGATCGAAAGAAGCCGCGGAATAAATACGAGGTAAGAAGTCAACAGCAAATAGAGGTTAGTGTCCAGCAGCAGCAAATCGATCGGCCGGTTTGGGTACACAACGTTCATCACAGACTGTAGTAGACGGTGAGAGTGAGGAAATTGCAAAATTCTTCGACGGCAAAGTTATGGCTGCCCGTACGGCGAAACGAGCTGAGTACCGTTGCAGCAGATGTGGCAATTCCGCCATATCGATCAATGCTGTACAATACCCAAGCTGACGTTAAAGAGATCAGCGTAGGAATCGTACCAGGGGTCTATGTTGTGGGCAATTGTCCATTTGAAGCATGCGATAATAGGGTTGCGGGTCAAAATTCAAATGCTCAAAAATCTGTTTTAACAGTAGGAAGGGTTTGCTGCTAAAACAAAACACACAAAGTTATATCGTTAATAAAAATCATGTGTGGTTTTAAATCATTTGGGATTAGATTCCCTGCTCACTTGAAGTAACAACTCGGGTTTTGTGAGCTGCGAGTAATCAGTGCAAAATATTAAATGAACTACCTTCAAACCACTACGAGGGCTTCATTGTGGCGTAGGTTGTCAAAGTCATAGCAAGGCACAGGTTAGAATTTGGTCATGTAATTGACAAACACGTACGTACCCAGTACACCGGCAAACATTGCTTCATCCCCAGCGCCCACTTAGCTCAAGATACATCCCCCTCTCAGTCCCAACCGGTCGCTTGCGAACACAATCGAGACGTGTTGGAACCTCCCGATGTTGTTCTTCTCATGATACAAGCCGCTCAATACAAGATAACAAAGTCAGGGGAGAACCGCGAGTCTTCAGAGACGTTGGGATGGCTCCGTATCGCCACAACCTTGATCTGCTCTCAGCACCGGGCCTTGTTACCACACCTATCACTACTACTGTGGCGTTTAGCTAAGGTTTGGCTATAGAATCTTCGAATGAGACAATGCAGGGTGCGAATACGAGGAACATTTCCCAGTTGGATAACCTTTCGCAGGTTGAAGCTAATACAATAACAAATTAAGTAAGACTGAAATCATTCGTATAATGTCCCACGTTGGCCTACTGTAATTGGCTATATGCACCAGTACTAGTGTTTCTTTCCCATGGTTTTGTCATTGCTTCCGGTAGACATTATCAGACGGGTTTATACGGAAGCTCTCAATTATAACAAGGGCACATAACCCTATCACAGCAAAATGAATTGTATCGCTACAGAGCCGCTTTCTTTTCCGCGTACTTGATTCGAGAAAGCTGAGTCGTTAGGGTGCTTTGTGCGGGGGATTACTGAATTGACTTGGCGCAGAAAACATATTGTGTTAGTGTGCGAGACCCATACCTGGGACAGGTTGCTGTAAGACTAATTGAGGCCGAAGAGAGAAAATCTAACGATCATTACGAAATATACGAAGGCCCACACTAGTGCTCATTGCTGTTTAAGAACTTGGTGATTACGTGCTCTTCCTCACTTCATGTGGCTCTTTTGTTTGTAAGCTGCGAAAACTCCGTGTAACTCGTTAATCTCCTCCATCCATACAATTACAAGCATATACAATACTACGTGCATATACGCACGTTCGAAAGCGATCGCCATGTCTTGTCAAAGAAGACATGTGTGGGCTGTAGTCGCGTACGATACTGATTTTGCATGAGCCGGTATTAAGATTAAATAAGAAGAGCTTGTTGGCGGGACTGCGCGCGCAGGTCTTAAAGGAAGAAATAAAAAAAAAAAATAGGCATCTAGACCAAGTTGTATTATGTCCAATCATATTGTTTGTGGCCCCGACCTGATAAATGTGCCGTTCGTTGAGGTACATTGCTGATAAATATCCTTCGCCTCATCGCTTTTTGAAAAATTGTCACCTGTCTCCTAAAACCTCTGTTTTAATTCTCCAGGGACGGCACTCGACCCTAAAGAGAAACTCTAAGCTCTTAACATGACTTATTAGTAAAACAAAATAAAGATCACTGTTTCTTCAGGCTTCAAAACCAGCACAACCTAACTGACGGTCGCGGTAGCGCTACTTGTAATCGCGCTGCACTTCCTCTGTGGATTTGTTCAACGTCTCCGGAACCAGCTTCAGAGACAGCAAGAAAAATATGTCCAGAAGCGTCACGAAGAGCAGGTAGCTCTAGTCATCCAGAGCGTCGGTGATGTACGGGTAGGCCACACCACACTGAGGTTGCACACCCAGCTGGCAGCAATGCCGATGGACGTGGCTGTGGCACGCACCAAGACCGGGACCAGGTCGGCTGTGATCACCCACACGAGACGACCCAGCGTCACACCGAATGCGATCACGTACAGAGTAGTGAAGACGATGGACAACGCAGGAACGTCCACCAGGAACGCCACCGTCATCAGCACGCCATCACGAACATACCGGCCCCGCCCCACAGGATCATGTTACGATTACCGAAGCGGTGAGCCAATACCCCTGTGAATAAAGCCGGCCAGATGTTGATAAAGTTGATGGTCAACGTCCCCACACGCGGGTCCGGGATACCGGAGTGTTTTTTTAGAAGAAATTAGAGAAGTAGAGCACGGTGTTGATACCCGACAATTGCGGTGCGCAAGACAAGAGGATGGCGGCGCCCATCTGGAGACGGTACTTGAGTGCGAACAGGGAGCCCGGCTCAGCCAACACCTGGGTCAGACCCTGTTCGGCTTAGTCCACGACTCGAGCCACGACAGTGGAGTGTACATGTTCTCCTCGCTGTAGAGACGTGCAAGGACCCGCTTGGCTTCCTCTCGGCGGTTCTTCATGAGCAGCCACGTCGGACTCTCCACACACATCGACGGAGCCATGAGTAGGAACAGCACGGCCAGAACCATAGCCAGGTAGCGCCGGCCCGAGCTTTGTGTTGGCGAAGAAGAAGAAGATAGCTGGGAAAAGGATGCCGATTGTCACCGATATCTGCAGTCACAGACACAGGATGTTACGCATGTGTGGCGGGGTCAACTCGTTCATGTATGCACCGAACGTACCCGTACCCGACGCGACGCCGGCGATCAGACGACCGGCCGAGAACCCCAAGACGTTCGACACGGACGTCTCGACCACGGCACCAGCGAATATGAAGATGCAGTTGACCAACAGCAGCTTCTTGCGGCTCCACAGGTTGCTGAAGTGGCCGCAGACAAACGAGCCGATCATGCCACCGAAGATCCACGCGTTCACGGAGAACGTCCATTCGAGCTTCGAGTGGCCCGGGTGTGACGGGCCCATCGTCACACATCGCCATCGCATCCAATGCGATGGCCAATCAGCTTGTAGAACACATCTACTGGTTGGCGTGGTCCGAGACCACGCCGTTAACTTTCAATACATCTCAGAGTCTAATTTGCCTGCTTCCTCACGCACAGTGTACGTAAGGTAACGGGTTGCTGAAAGCCCGTTACACCTGGTAGCACATCGCCATCGCATCCAATGCGATGGCCAATCAGCATGTAGAACACATCTACTGGTTGGCGTGGTCCGAGACCACGCCGTTAACTTTCAATACATCTCAGAGTCTAATTTGCCTGCTTCCTCACGCACAGTGTACGTAAGGTAACGGGTTGCTGAAAGCCCGTTACACCTGGTAGCACTTCGTCATCCGTCCAACGCTCACGATTAACGACATGCCGATGCCCGACGCGCCCAAATTGCCCAACACGTCGCTGGAGCACGACAGCCTTCCCCACCTCTCTTCGATCGAATAGGAGGCGTTGCACCGCCTCGCTGCTGCGTCCGGCGAGGCTGTCATCCACACGTTGCTCACTGCTGGAACCGAAGCTCAACATCGCCTTGCCGCCCAAGAATTCATGGCGCGTGAGCTCGCTGACCTCCGTCAGCGCGTGTCGACTCCCACGCTGTCCAAGAACAGGACTGACATCGTCAAGCTCGATGTCTCCTCTTATAGTGGTGAGGGCGACGGTCGCCTCCACTTGAACAGATGGTTCTGCGAAGTGGACATCGCAATCGAAGCCCGGCAGCTTTCCACCGAGCTCGCGCGGACTCGCTTTTTCCTTTCCAAACTGACGGGGAAGGCAAAGGAGTGGGCCCTCGGCAAACTCGTTGTCAACCCCTCATGCTTTCCCACGATGGCTGCAATGAAATCTGACCTGCGACTCGCGTTCGAGCCGCCCCAAGATGAGAGAGTCCAGCGTTCCGCCTTCCTGTCGTTGCAGCAAGGCAAGATGTCCATGCTCGAGTATATCCAGCGGGCACGTCACCTCATCTCGTGCATCACGACACATCCGGTTGACATGGCGACCCAAGTCCATGTCTTCGTGTCCGGCATGAACACCGGCTACCAACGCTTCTACTTAACGCGGAAGTCCCCATCTACGCTGGAAGAAGCTTTCGCGGTGGCCCTACGCGAAGATTACAGCGTCGCGGCATCTCAAGCTTTCGATTTCAGTCGGGCTCCGGCCTCCGAACCAGAACCAGAGCCGATGGAGATTGATGCCATCCGCCACTTCGATCGTTCTCGGTCGACGACACGTCCACCGCGCTCCCCAACGCGCAGCCAACGTTCGATGAAATGCTTCCGCTGTCGCAAGCCCGGACATCGCGCGGCGGTGTGCCGCGCGCCGGCACCTGTCCTGGCAAACGTCACGGTGGAGTCCGAGGTCGTCGTTCCAAAAAACGGCGACAACCAGTAGGTGCGGGGCGCCCTACTGGGAATGGAAGGAGAGATGCATCTCTGGTGGCAGAGCCTCCTCCTAGCCCTCCAGTGCTTTACGCACGACTTTTCGCCACCACTTCCGGCAGCGACTCGAGACTGATTATTCTCAGTCTTCACGTTGACGGCGCCCAGCGCCCGATCCGTGCGTTGCTGGACTCCGGCGCGACGAACAACTTCGTTCGCGCCGACAGCTTATCGGTGTTGCCGCCAACCACGCGCATCAGCGAAGGTCCAGGCCACATGGTCGTCAAATACGCTGACGGCAAGCCGCGTCGGATGCCCCGGCGCTCGGTCGCCTTCGCGTATGCATTCGACGGGTTCTCCAGCTCGGACGACTTCCTGGTGATCGAGTTGAGCGGTTCATTCGACTGCGTCTTCGGCATTCCGTGGCTAGTGCGTCACCAGCCTCACATCGACTGGTTGACCCGAACTGTTCGGCCACGCGATATCGATATCAACGCAGTACTGGCGTACCTGAGCGGTACGCCCAGCCTCTGGCCACACGTTGCTGTCATGGACCCCGACTCCATGACCACCCCTGCACTTGAAGAGAGCGATGGCCCTTCATACGCAGCCAGTGCTCCAGCAACTTGTGCCGGTCCTGAGTCGGAGCCTCAGGGCGTTTCCGATGTGGTCGAGCTGGGTATCCCACACCTTGGTGAGCAGTGGCTCCCACCTCGCGAAGCGGTTGAGCGTGAGTTCCTGCCCGCGGTTGAACAGGGGTTCCCGCGCGCAGTCGAGCTGGAGCTCCCTGATGTTGTGGATGCAATCGTTCTACATGATTCGTGTCCCGGCGCCGATGACATACCCCGGCGCCCAACCGATCTCGCAATGATCGAGCGTGAGCTCTCATCGCCAGATGTACTCCGTCCTGTTCGTCGTCGTAGTCGCCGTAACCCCCGCCGACCTCGTGCCCCGTCGCAGGACTCCGTCCTGAGCGAGTTCGAGACTATCACAGTCCTTGCTGGACACGCCTCGAACGATCTTCCGCGTCGCCGTGAGGTTGAGGTCGCACGTCCACCGTGCGACGCCGCGGCAATCACAAAGCTCCCCGGTCTCTCTTGGAAACATATTCTCCGCGACTTAAAGCACGGCGACGTCGAACAAGTATGCTTACTCGTAGCTAGCGACGCCGCGTTCATCGCGACTGTCCACGTCGACACCGATGCCTCAGCGCCGGACCCCCAGACGCGCCCCACGGGCGCCATACCGAAAACAGCCCGTGAAGCGCGCTACGCTGCACAATCGTTACCGGCCCTCGAAGCTTCCGGTAACCCTGTGGCCCCTCTCGTCCGTGAATTCATCGACATCTTCCCCGACAAGGTTCCGGCGGCCCTTCCGCCGGATCGCGGAGTCCGACACGAGATCGATCTCGTGCCTGGCGCCAAGTACTGTGTCACCAGACAGTGGCCGCTTCCCCGCGACCAAGTCGAGGCGATCGATGCCTTTTTCGAAAGTCGCCGGCAAGCCGGCCACGTTCGCGAGAGCTTGTCACCCCACTCCAGTCCTACGTTCTGTGTGAAGAAAGCGACCGGGGGGTGGAGGATCGTCCACGCCTTCAACAAGCTTAACGACGCCACAATCCCGGCACAAACGCCGATCCCACGAAAGGACATGATTCTTGACTCCATGTCGGGCAGCACCACGTATAGCGCGATTGATCTGATGGACGGCTTCTATCAGATCTTGATGCGCGAAGACGACGTGCCGCTGACCGCCGTCAGCACGCCCAGTGGAATGCTTTGAGAATGGCTAGTCATGCCGCAGGGGCTCAAGAACGCCCCCGCCACCTTTAACCGCATGGTGTCCCACTTGCTGCGTCCATATCGCGACTTCGCGCCCAGTTACTTTGACGACATCTTCATTCATAGTCATGCCGACGCCGACATGACTGACATCGAAGTTCATCTCCAATACCTACGAACGGTGTTCGGAGTGATGCGTGAAAACAAGCTCTACGCCAACCTGAAGAAATGCATCTTCTGCGCCCCCGAGATTCCAGTCCTCGGGAGCTACGTCAGCAGGGACGGAGTCCGTGCTGACCCCGAGAAAATGGCAGCCATCTGCGCCTGGCCATCTCCTCAAGACGCGAAACAGCTCCGACAGTGGCTCGGCCTCGCGACGTATCTCCATCACTACTCGAAGAACTTCGCGGCGACAGTTCGTCCACTGTCGCAACTACTCAAGACCGATGCCACTTGGACATGGCGTCCAGAACATCAAGCTGCCTTTGACGCGGTAAAAACGAGCTTATCCACCGCGCCCGTCCTGATGCTGCCTGACCACTCCAAGCCATTTCACGTGGTATGCGACGCCAGCGACTTTGCCATTGGTTGCGCCTTGATGCAATTCGACGCAGCAGGGCGCGAACGAGTGGTAAGCTACCAGTCGCGCCAGCTGAAACCAGCGGAACGGAATTACCCCGTACACGACAAAGAGCTACTGGCCATGCGCTATGCGCTGCTCAAGTTCCGAGTTTACCTCTTGGGCGAACAGACCTTCGTCGTGTACACCGACCACGCGTCGTTGCGAACCGCAACGAAGAGTCCGCATCTGTCCCAGCGCATGGCGCGCTGGCTCTCCCTTTTCTCCGAATACAACTTTGTTGTTCTACAAGCCAGGCAAGACGAACTTTCTTGCCGATGCTCTCTCGCGTCGGCCAGATTACGCTCAACTTGGCCGCCACGCGATTGGGGACGAAGACGACGACGAGTGCGCCGTGTGTTCTGCTGAAGATGTCACTGCGATGGAAGTCGCAGCGACCAGTTCGTTGCGCGACGCGATCTTGGCCGCGTACGCGTCGGATGCGGCGTGCTCCGAGCTGATCTCGTTCCTACATGATCCGTCGGAGCCAGCGCGGCGCCGACTGTCCCCGCGGGCCCGATCCCGATTGAGCCGCTTCCGCTTACAAGAAGGTTTGCTGACTTACAGTGTGGACAACGAAGACTCACCACGCATCGTCGTCCCGCTGGACGACGATCTTCGCGCCCGATTGATTCACGAGTTTCACGATTCTCCCAGTGGTGGCCATCTTGGACGCGAAAAGACCTTCGCGTCCCTCTCTCGCGATTACTACTGGCCGCACATGTACAAGTGGGTGCGTAGTGGGTTCGCTCATGCGAAGCGTGCCAGCGCGTGAAGCCTTCCCCGTCGAAGCAAGCACCGCTTCGACCCCTCCAGGTGGCCTCGGAGCCGTGGTCCTCCGTCAGTATGGATTTCGTTTTCGGCCTTCCCCCGCGACGCCCAAGGTCGCACTGGCATACTCGTCTTCGTCGATCGATTCAGCAAGATGGTCCATCTTGCTCCAGTCGCCGCTACGGTCACCGCCAAGCAGTCTGCGGCGACGTTTCTGGATCTTGTTTATCGCCATCACGGCTTGCCAACATCGATCGTTTCCGATCGCGATCCCCGCTTCACCTCAGCTTTCTGGTCAGAGATCTTCCGGCTTGTCGGGACGCGGTTGAAGATGTCCACCGCGTCGCATCCGGAAACGGACGGCCAGACGGAGCGTGCGAACAGGGTCGTTGAGGACGTGTTGCGGAGCTTCGCCACGTCA